AATTTATTTTTTATATTTTTCAAGATATTTCTCAAGAATTTATGTATTAATAATTTATAATATTCAAACTTAAATGATAAAATTATTAATATATCTTATAGTTCAAAATTCGATTAAATTTAGTAAATCATTATTCGATTAAATTTATAAATCATATATGTTCATTCATAATATTTATTTCAAAGATATAGCAAATATTTTTCTGAAGAATAGTTGCATTTGTACGTTTTTTGAATTTATGTAACATGAAAATATAAATGAAAATATAAATTGTTATATATTTAATTGCTATGATTTTCTTAATATACATTAATTAATTTTTAAATTTAGATAAAAATAGAATATATTTTATGAACAATTAATATTATATAATGAATTTATCGTAAATAGAATATATATAAACTATCTGAAATTGTTTATTATACCATTAAAATACATTAAAAATTGATATAATTTTCCATTCCCAAAATATAAATGACTTATTTTAATCTATAAATACAATTATCTTCCGAATTGTTTGTTTTCTGGAAAATGGTTGTCTAAACATTCTTTTAGAATCAGTTTTTTTAAAAATTTTATTATATTTTCTAATAAAGATGAAATATATCATATATTTGAATCAAGAAATATATATATTGGTTTGAACCAATATATATATTGGTATAATATATTTGAACCAATAATATATTGTTCAAATATATGGTTCAAAAGTTATGCACAATAAAGAATTAATATTATCATATTATAAAATTAATATTATTATATTGTATGATTTATGTTTACATGATAACTGTTTAAATGAAAAACTTTATTATTTATTTAAACATTAAACTGCGAATTTTTACGCAATTATATATTTTTCATAAACATTATTCATGAATATATTATTATGAATATTTTTTTCCAATATTATAATTTTATTTATTTAATAATTAAATATTTAAACAAATATAATAATTAAATATTATTTTGGCAATAAATAAATATTCACATGTTTATTCATTCTCAAATTTATCTTAAATATTATTATCTTAAATATTATTAATTAGTTTTATTATCATTTTAATAAGGATGTTCAATTATTTGTATACCTCAGTTCGGGATACCCTGCAAAAGAGAGCGTTGAATCTTTTCTCCGTCGATTAGTTTTCCAGTATCTCTACTTCAGAAGTATGAAATATTTGCATTCCCCCATCATGAGCAAATACATCAATCACTACTACATGTTTGAATCCTAATAATGTGCATTTGACTGCTATATATATTATGCTATTCGATTTTAATTTTTGAAATATTTGAAAAAAAATTTGTTATTTAAAATTTCGTCTATACGACAATATAACATAATGTATGCATAAGAATTATTTATTTATCTTTTATTAATATAAATACATTAAGTATTAGTAAAGTAAAGTAAATATATATTATATAATAGTAATAACTGATTGATTCTTTATATATATATAAAGAATCAATCAGTTATTACTTTCGAATTATGATAAATTCAAAATATTTTAACTTAAACTTAAAAAAAAAAAAATAGATTGAACATTTCATAGAAATTATCATATTGTTGCTAATATTTTTATAAAAAAATTAACTATAGTTCTTTAAATTCATGAAATGTGAAAATAAAATAAAACAATTCTTGGATGATTGATTATGTGTATAGCTGTTGAATTTTTTATTTCAAACTATAAATTTCCTTAATCCAATATATAACCATAAATTACTCTATCATCTTATAAGTATATATATAGTATACTTATATATAGTATATATATATTTTCTAATAAATACTATATAATAACAATAGTTTTTATTAATATCTTGAAAATTTTTAGCAAAATGAATTTTTAACAATCCAAATCGTAATTATTGTAATCTTTAAGTAAAATTTCAATCGAGATACCACATCTTTAATTCCTTATTTCAATTAAAATCAATCGATATAATTGATCATTTAAAAAAAAAAATACAATGCTTAAATGATAATTATATATTATTTTATAGGACAAGTTCGATTATTTTGATCTTGATATATTATTCAGAACATCATTCTAACTTTTCTTTATAATTTAATTGCCAATCTCTTACAATTTTTGAAATATTTGCAAAAAATGATTGTTATTAGCATATTGAATTTTATATATTTTGCGTTTGTGATATAATAATCAATATATGATCGTCGTTTATCTATTTTTACAAATATATTAGACTAATTAATGTTCAAAATATATAACGATTAAACGGTTAAAAAACTTCCTCATGAATTTTAATGGGCTTGAAATATGTCAATCTTAATTCATAGCAAGTTGGATATTTCGCATTCCTTCGGATTCGAATGAGAAAATAAAATATAAATCAATCTTTAGTCGATCAAAATAATAGCGATAAATATTGAGTATGATGCTAATATCACTATCATTATTTTGATCATTATAATTTTGATTTTGTAATTTCGATTATTTTATAGAATTTATTTTTATATTTCATTGATCTAAATTATTCGAAATATGTAAGTTTTCTATGGATAAATATAAAGCTCATTTATTATATATTTTGAGTGCTAATTAATTATTATGTGTTTAATATAAACAATTATGCATATATAATTGTCTATACGATACAAATTTCTATTGTATGTAATAGTAGAATAGCAATTTTTTTTTTTGCAAATATTTCGAAAACCACCGATTAAATTATAAATTGTTCAAAATATTCTTGATATCAATATTAAGATGATCGAAATTGTCTTTCCATAAATTAATAAATATATAGAAATATTTAATGGATTAATTATAATAAATTTCTATATACAGGAATATTGTATATATTGAAGGAACATTGATTTTAAAGAAGTACATAATATGACTTTATGCGATTCAAATAAAAATTTCCTAAATTATAATTCGATACAAAATAATGAAATATTCTATATGTTAAAATCCAATTAATGTAAGTTTTTTTTTATTCTACGAAAAGAAATTGAATACTATCGCTCAAAAGACAGTCAATATAATTATTTATAATGTGAACTTTGAATAATAATTAATTTTAATTGTTTTTGTAGTTGATTAACTGAATTCTGCGATTTCTACTAATTGATATCTGATTGATTTCTTATTCCTGCGGCGATTAGATGATTGATTACTGAATGTGTTGTGAACGAATGCTACTATTTTTTATCACAAATTTTGGTTCTCTCTTAACAATTATTTTAGATGAAAATATAATTAAGAGAAAATAAAATAGTATCAATAGTAATGCAAGAGAAGGATGATTTCCAAAGATGAGTCCTCGCGTCA